GTAGTGACGCCATGACTACCTTTAGCGAGAAGTTTTTTTTTTTTTTTTTTTTTTTTTTTTTTTTTTTTTTTTTTTTTTAAATAAAGCACTGTATTATTTACCTAAATGAACAACTCTTAAAATGGCTTATTTAAACAAAAGGGCCCTTGAAATTTCCGAAGACCCAAATCGCCCATCATGGCGGGCTTGCGGTTCTTAAGATGATCGGTAAGGGAGTACTTATGGACCAGCAGTTGCTAATTCTAGAACAATGTTCGTGTTCATTTAACCACATCCCTGATCAAAATCTAGAACTTAAAGAGGGTTATTACCACGTATTTTCATACAAAAATTTGCCTTTTTGCCTTATTAGTTTCCATATTTAGACAGCTTTACTTTTAAATTAATATTTTACGGTTTCTTTTGAAGTACTTATATATTCAAATTGATATTCGTCCTTGCGCCATAATCATTGACATTTTTAATTTTACTTTAAACCTCGTGTCCCGACCAAGCGAGTGGTTTTATAAGTTTTTTCTTCATCGTGTAACTGAAGTATAACGGCAAAGATTAAGTGCCGTAAGAAAGGAAGACGAAAAATAATTGAGCTTTCACAAGTTTTCAATTTAGGTCTTTCTATGTGGGCCTTTACATTCCATCTCGAGTGGTTTATTTGACCCCAGATGAAATTTTGGTTCGAGTGGCTTTCTAGAAGTCATCTCTTCCGTAAATATTTACAACCAGATCCCGTCCTATTTTTTACACTATACATAAATAACAGGCTCCGACGAGCCACAAATCCAAACCGCGCATTTCCATGCTAATCCTGACCAAACACAAAAATCAAAATGATTATTTTTGTTTTCCCTTTTAAAAGCGTTGTAAAACAAAAAGTCCGATTATTTTTACATTTCATTACTTGATAATGAATGTGTATTGTACAGAACAAATAAAAACAAATTTTAAAAAACTGGAAACTGCTGTTGGATTATAGTTTGGATTCTCGGAAACCGTGAGGGATTCGTGATGAATGAACGGTTCTGCCGGGTTGTCTTCTTCAGCTCGAATGCATGAACTTCGCTCTGATCATTAATGATCATCACTCGCCCGAGTTTTCCCGCCGTTTGTACATCATCGGTCACGGTCCCGAGTCCGTTTTCGGATTTGTTTCGCTCCCTTGCGAAACGGCGGACGAAATAAACATCTAAACCGAATCGCCAAACAAAGCCGAGAGACGCACTTCAAGGCTCATTAAACTCCAAGGAAAGAGAGAGAAAAATATATTTAAAAAAAATAAAGAGACAAAGGTTAAGCGATACAACGAGTTTTATTGAGAAAATCATGAGACCAGAGATAATCATTAATGGCCAGACTATTTAAACAAAAATATTTTTCTACTAATAACAAATAAATAAAATACAGCTTATATTGAGTACTTTCGACAAATAAATAAAAAATTATTACATGCGTCTTTTTTAAAATAACACGTTGAGAATGTTCGCTGGTTAATGTCAGCAATATTCAGCAATAATTGTTGAACTGAAGTTAATTTTAACGATGTATCCAGTCGATTTTAGCTATATCGATCCTATATTTTTGTAATTATTTGAACCAAAAATTACAGACCTTTTCAAAATAATAAACATCCGAACCAAATAAACAAATTACTTAGGGCTAAACATCATTTACGGACGTACTTCAAGCCTCATTAACCTCCAAGGACTACAAAAAAGGAAAAACAAATAAAAAAACAATCAAGAATAAAAAGTAAAACCGAAACGACTTTTATCCAGAAAAGACACCAGTGATGATGATCATTAAAGATGGAACTACAGAAGTCATTGTTCACGCATCAACAACTTTTTCACATACATAATATATCATTGTACATTTTCAATTTACTATCGCTGAGAAAAGTAATAGCCAAAGCGTAAAAAAATTACCAGGAATAGTATATTGATAATTTCTTAATTTGCACTGTTTAAAGTTAGATTTAACGAAAATGCAGGTCATTTAGATTATTAGTAAAGAAAAAATAAGTTTGATTGATTATTTGATAAGCCAAAAGTCTAAACTTAAGAAACAATTAATTATTCTTTTTATGTAAGGTTTTGGTTGAGATAAAAAAAGTCAGTGTCACGAGCGGGATTCGAACCCATGACCTACGGCTAAATACGCCGCTACTCTACACTTGAGCCATCGTGACTTCGATCCACTCGGACACCAACTCTCCATCTCAACCTACAACCGTTCGAATTTTTTGAAAATGGCAAAAAGAGGGAAAATTTGAATCTAAGTCTCGATAGCTCAAGTGTAGAGTAGCGGCGTATTTAGCTAAAGGTCGTGGGTTCAAATCCTGTTCGTGGCCTTACAGAGAAAGAATAATTAATTGTATTCATTTAATTTATATATATGCTAGTATCTAGCAATAGCAATATGCATACTCAAAATAATGTGTTAAATAATACTTTTTACTGCCTCCCTGGGCAACACCGGGTTATAAAGCTAGTTGCTAATATCACCAAAGCCAAGTGGGAATATTAAAAAAAAAGGTTTGCGCTAAGCAGATAAATCTGTTTCGGGTCAATACAAACGTTTTAGTTAGATTAAATAGCATTCTACACTTCCGATATTAAAATAACTGTAAATAACTGTGCGAGTAAATAATTGTAAAATAACTATTTAAATTGGACAAAAAGCCTCGTAGACCAACCGATATGGATATCATTTATATTTTATTACCCTAAACTTCATTTTTCCTAGTAGATCATTATTAATTTGTCGATGTTGTTTACATTTAGTTACTGGTGTTGAAATTCCAATTGTCTCAGGTTGCCACATAAAATTGCCCTTCTTGTACATTCTTTAAACTCTTTCCAATTTAAATATAATAAATGGTCTATCTCTATCTTACATTTGTGGCATGTATGTAAATTAAATTACTCCATAAAATGAGTTCTCATAAGAAGATAGATCGTGAGATACGGTCTGGTGTGATGTAGGTTTAAAAAAACATTATTTTATCGTGCCAACGTTTCGATCTTTATTGAGAACATCTTCAGAGCTCAAAGTGTTTTTTTTTGTGTGGAACGACAGTTGTGTTTTGGGTTGAGAGTGTTGGACAAGTCACACAAATGTGACACATTTACACGGAAAAGACACACTTTGAGTCCTGAAGATGATCTCAATAAAAATCGGAACGATGGCACGATAAAAAAATGTTTTTGTAAACCTACATTACACCATACCGCATCTCACCATCTGTAAATAATCAGTAATTAACGATCACTAAATACTTACACACTCCATAAAATCCATAGATCGTGAGAAGCGGTCTGGTGTGATGTAGGTTTCAGAAAAACATTTTCTTTATCGTGCCAACGTTTCGATCTTTATTGAGGTCATCTTCAGGGTTCAAAATGTGTCTTTTCTGTGTGGAAGTGTCACAGTTCTGTGTTGTGTTGAGAGTTTGGACACGACACACAACTGTGACACATCAACACAGAAAAGACACACTTTGAGCTCTGAAGATGATCTCAATAAAGATCGAAACGTTAGCACGATTAAGAAAATCTTCCTCTAAACCTTCATCACGCCAGAACGCATCTCACGATCTCCATATAATCATTAATTAACGTTCACTAAATACTACACACTCCATAAAACATTTGACTTTTGAAAAAGATCAATATTATATTTAAATTGAACCGCATTTAAAACTTTACATGCCTTTTGTGTATATCGATCTGAGAAAAAGGGTCCGAATTAATGAGGAATTATAATAATAATAAATAATAATAAAAAAATTTAAAAAACCAACTCGAATTGGTTGAATATACGTTCTGATTCAATTTTTTTTTTAAATTAGTACTAAAAATTATTAGGAGATAGTGAGATGCGGTCTTGTGTGATGTAGGTTTAGAAAAACATTTTCTTTATCCTGCCAACGTTTCGATCTTTATTGACATCATCTTCAGAGCCTGGGATTTACAAACATTGTTTAGATTACACAAATCCGTGTAAAATGTGAAAATGAATTTATACAATGATGTACACAATATAGAAAATTTAGGTTCAATCAAAGTATTTGTACTCAATCAAAGTGTGTATTTTCTGTGATGATGTGTAACGGTTGAGAGTATTAGTATATTAATGTTTTTTGTTTATACAGGTTTGATTTTGGTGGAATGGGGAAGGAATAGAAATTCGTTTTTCTATGAAGTCATCTTCTTTGAATTGAAATGGGCCTAAAATGAGAAAAAAAATGGTAATGGTTTGTCGTTCGGGATTATTTTAGACGGGATTTATTAGATAAATTCCAGGCCCTGAACATGATCTCAATAAAGATCGAAACGTTGGCACGACAAAGATGTTATTCTAAACCTACATCACACATGACCGCATCTCACGATCTCCTAATAATCATTAATTTACGGTAAATACTGCACATTGGTACTAAAGGGTCATTCAACGCTGAACGTTAAGGACACATGTTACATTTTAATAATCTTAATGACACCGTTCCGCGGTAAAAAGCGAAACGCTGTGCGGCAACACGCCTAGGTAATCAAATATTAACGTGGGATATGCACGTGCAAACATTCCGTCTTTCGATTTGTCGGATAACTGCCGATGTTTCATTTTGCCTTTTATACGGAATAACGGACGTTGATCTGTGAAAAAAATGAGACGGAGAGTTGTTCAACTTTAGGTGAATTCAAACCTGAGCTCAGTGTAATATCCTTTTTTTATCCCCCTTTCTAAACACGACGCTGACAATGGTCACAGCACATATCCACAAATCACAACGCGCACCTCCCGCGAAGCCGGCCGGGCGAACACTGGCTCCCTCGCCGTGGGCGATGGGCCCACTCCGGCGCCACCATCCGACCGTGGTGGGGCAAAGTTTGTTAAATATACATATTTTATCTGGATTTCTGTTCGGATGCCACGGGTCGGAAAAGGAACTCGGATTAAAACTGAAAAAGTTTACCCCTGTCCAAGAAAAATGATTTACTTACAGCGTCGTGATTTGCCAACTGTCAATTGAGGCTTACCTGAAAAATAAAGAACAAATTGTAAGTCACAGGTGTTTCAACCAACTGGTTTCAGAGAAAAATTGAAAACCCGTATTTATACGCCTAACAACAGGGATAAAAAGGCATTTGTCCAACATTGGAATCGGATTATTAATCATACCGCTCGAATATACAGGTAACGTCTTCGCGATTACTCCGGGATACTCTCCTCGACAGCCAATTCTGTATTTTTAGGTGATATGCAACTATTTTCCAGATCTTACAATATCTACTTAGAAGATTCAAAATCAAACGACGGAGTAGGTTGGTTTGACACTCAATTAAAAAAAGTGAAATGTATAAACTTCCTTCGGAAATAAGCATCTGCTCCTCGGAACACTCAGGAATTTTAAAAGCTCTTCAGTATGCCTGTGAAAATCACCTAAGCAGCCAGTCTATTGTGATTCTGCCCGATTCTAAAAGTGCCTTGGAAAGAATAAAATTTGGAGGTAATTGTTAATACATTGAGTGGCAAATGAAACATTAGCATTAAAAAATAATAAAACCACTAATATGAAAACGTGTTGGATTAGGGAGTCATGCCGGAATCACAGGGAATTACATGGTTGACGAACTAGCAAAACACGCCTTGTATTAGGGTAAAAGCTTTAAAGCCCCTATTTCCGTCAAAGACGCGAAACGATGTCTCCAGGCGGAGATTATTAAGTAATGGCGTATCATAAATGATATCATACCTACAGGTGCTTTCCTACTCAAAATAAGAAACCTTGGTTCCATGGACTAGCCTGGACAAAAAGGAACAGCTCAATGATAATGCTTAGATCTGGTCATGGCATTTGAGGGTTGTACCTATATAAAATAAAGAAAACAAGGACTAATTTATGTGGAACATGCCAGATTGAAGAAGATATGTAACATGTTATTATGAACTATATGAAGAGTATTGCCAAGCCAATCGAATCTGGTGAACCAAAGCTCAACAAAAAGTAGCTACCCAAACATTAGGCAGCATACAAAGACTAGCAAGCCTATGTATCACAAAGGCAATGAGAACATCCCCTACAAATGCATTAGAAACTCTGCTAAACCTACCTTCATTGGAAATATCCATACAAGGAGAGGCTAGGAAAAGCTCACATAGGCTCCAGAAACAATTAAATTGGAAAGGAACTATACAATTCGGGCATACAACCATAATGAACAAAATCAGACACCCATTATTAGAAATGGGGACTGATTATATGATCCCGGAATCAATCTTCACCTATAAAGACTCAATAGACTCTAAAGGAGAGGAAGAACTCAGGAGAGCATTAGATACAACGATATGGTACCCAGATGGCTCCAAAACAAACGAAGGAACCGGATCAGGCGTTTTCTGTACAAGCCCAAAACACGAGCAATCAAACTCATTAGGGAAGTCTTTCGGTCTTTCAAGCAGAAATACACGCCAACAATGCTTGTGCCCTGGAAAATCTTAAAAGAGGTTACACTGACAAAAAAATCCTCATCTGATAGCCAAGCAGCCATTAAATCATTAGCATGTAAAAGAATCATATAAAAATTAGTCAATTAATGCATCCAAAATCTACAAAACCTGCGAAAACAACAACCTGATGAATCTTCGGTGCCAGGGCATAGGGGAATTTCGGATAAAGAGAAAGCAGACAGTCTGGCCAGAAGAGGATCTGCAAGACCATACATAGGACCCGAACCTGGGATAACAACAAATATAGAATCCTCCATCGCAGAATGGATCCAAACAAAACAAAAGGAGAAGTGGATAAACTCAGGCGGCGCTAGACATAATAAACTTGTTACTAAAAATGAAACAACCCTCACCAACACTGGCAAAATCAATTGGAGAGGGCCAAACTCAGAGGAGTGATAGGACTACTAACCGGTCATCTGAGAAAACATCTACACAACATGGGCATATACAACGATGATTCCATTTGCAGATTATGTAATGAGGAGGAGGAAACAGCCACCCATATCTTCGAATGCGAAGCAACGGCTCAATGGAGATTTAACCTAACGTACGGAAAAACTTAGGGAATCAAATTGCAGCAGCGACAGTCAATGACCTGATACTTCTAATGAGAAGGATTGACTCTATTCCACTGAACTTAGGAACTAGGAAAGTAGAATAAACCAGAAGGCTGCAATGCCTGCAGAGTACAACCTAGTATCCTTCTTTAAGGAGGCATAAAGGGAGAAAAGTACCCAGGAGAGTGAAACATATTCGGGATAAATATGGCTAAAACAAATACGAGAACGTTACAGTTTTGAAAATCTCCTCTACCAGTGGAGGTTGAGCTCGGACAGAAAAACAGATTGCCTCTCTGGGCCATTTATGTTGCTCCCTCCAGGCAGTAGTGACCACCTTTGCTATGTAAGCAAATTCATAAATTTCAATAGAAGTTTGTTGAACAACAAACAGCTTTGATGGCGTTAATCACTCAAACACACCCAATGATCACAGGGTAGGCAAATATTTTCCCTTTACGGCGCATTCGGTTCGTCCACCATGTGTATCGAATAAGCAACTGAATTTCAGATCAAACGAGGAGGTGATTGTATTTAATTTACGTTCGGTTTGGCTTAAATGACGTACTTGCCGTTATCCAGTTTAAGCTCATAGACGTATTGAACTGACTGAGACGGGTGATTTCTCACAGGTAACCGTGAGAAGCGTAATTTCAATAATGTATTTTAACCTTAGATGGCATTAGGATAACGCTAATGTGGGGAGTCAATTTCCGGCAAAGGCCTTTGTATAGATAAAAACATGGAAAACAAAAATAACATAATTCATCAGTTCACCTTCTACTAACCCATGTGTTTACAGTTCAAGGTAAGGTTTTCTAATTAAATAACTACGAAGGCTTTTTACAACCCCAACCGTATTTATAAAAACTAATCAACATTTGATATACGAAAATATGTTCCAGTGTGAGGAACTGGTGCATAATTGTATGCTGTTCAAAATCTTAAGCCTAAACTCCTACTAAGCCTAAAGTTCGGCAATTATACACTCAAAAATACAGGGTGATCTATAAAACGATACGAAAATATCAATCAATGTCATCAAAGAATTAATACCAGTCCATCTGAAACAGCTCTCCAGCATCCTGGGAAATTCAAGAAAAAGTTATTAGGTTCTCCAGAAGCGGTGGAAACAATCTTTAAGGCTCCTCTGCACCCGATCAATCGATGTAACATGAAAAAGCAATAAAATGAAAAGTGGACGATAATACGAAACGTCTTCAGACATATGAAATGAAATCAACTGACGTAAAGGATCGACTGGGAATCGTCGAGATGGAAAAGGTAATTTTTGTAAGCTGAGAATGGGATCATATTTATGAAGGAATCATATGGATTTTATAAAGGAACGATCTTCTACATTGGACAAAAATTGTCCAACAAAACTTTTCATGCATTATGCTGCAGATGAACGAAGAATGATGTTCGTATCATCAGTAAATTTCATAAGGCAGGAATAGTTCGATATAAATGGTGAAGGAAGCCTGAAAACAACCAGAAAATATTAAAAGAAGAATGTACAGAATATTGTTTTGTTCTAACAGGTTTTTAAAATAATCGACTGTCTGTATGAACAGTTGCCAATACAATTAATGGTGAATCCGCTAAACCGAAAGAAACACATTTGGAACGAATGTATTTATTAGCGAGAATGGAGAGGCCAGGCCTATCATACTAGGGCTCGTGTATTATCTGTATTTATTGGCTCTCTATTTAATGAAAAGGTGGTCATAATTGACCATATTAATTATTTCAATTAATTATTCTTTTTATCTCATTTTTATCTAAACCAAGACCTTAGATAAAAAGAATAATTAACTGAAATTCCTACTGTGTACTGTACTGAGCGAATGTTATTTATTAGATTACAATTAATTAAGATTTTTAGTTGAGATAAAAAAGTCAATGGCACGAGCGGGATTCGAACCCACGATCTTCGGCTAGATACGACGCTGCTCTACCACTTGAGCTATCGTGACTTCAATCCACTCGGACACTAACTTCCCATCTCAACCTCACCTTTTTTTATATTTTCCCTCCTTTTTGCCATTTTTAAGTGGATCGAAGTTCAAATGTCGTGTAATCGGATTGGATTCTCGACGACAAATGAAATGGACACGGAGAGCTTTAGTGAATATACTTCATTTTCAATCATTAAATTCAAAAATGGCAAAAAGGAAGACTTTTTTATCTCAACTAAAAACCTTAATTAATTGTAATATATTAATTGGTCAAGCGGACCACGAAAGTAGGGAATGAATTGAAAGTTATTTATTAGAGTTAAACAAGAAGGCATATCAAAGGAATATCCAGTATTCCAGGGCAGCTTGAATTATGTCTGGTGCGTGATGTAATTTATTAGCGTGAACGGAGGGTGCTCCTCTCCAATCATCCCAAGGAATATCAAGTACTCTGGGGCAGTGTAAATGTAATTTATTAGCGAGAATTGAGAATCAGTCCCCTAGATCGCCAAGAAATATATATTATTTAGTCGGGCACGAATGAATGAGACTTATTGGTCAAATTAAAAATGGCGAATGAGAAACAGTTGAGTAAATGTACATAGGGCAGGGTGAATGAAGTCTTGTATGTGAATCTAATTTATTACCTTGAATGGTAGAGATCCCCTTGCTGAATTGTCCCAAAAAATATCTACACACTGGAGCAGTATGAAAGAAGTCTCGTGTGTGAATGTAATTTATTAGCACGAAGGACTTCGTGCCCAATCACCCCTATCAATCTCGAGTACTCTGGGGCAATATGAAGGCTAGCCAGACTAACTTATGTTTAAACGTATATATTTTTATTTGTGTAAATTTTGTATGATAATTATATGTATATTTTTATACATGACTGCCGTGAGGTAGAGAGAAGTAGGCAACTGGATAGAGAAACAAGACTGCCTAACTAACGGAAATTTAGCGTCAGAAATTTAATTAAAAGGAACAAGAAGAAGAAAAAAAACAGTA